TGCAATCAGGATGCATTGATAATTATTGGCAACTGGGATGTAGAAGTTGAAAACAAAGAAGGATCAGTAGTTGGGAAATGGGGCCTTAGTGACAGAAGCAAAGCTGGACATCACATGATAGAACGTTGCAAGACCACTGCAAGCATCTGTTTTTGAACAACATAAACACTGACTTTATACTTGGAACTTGCCAGGTGGAGTACAAAGGAATCAAATTGAATACATCTGTGGGAAGGGACAATGAAGAAGCTCAATATGAGTGGCCAAAATGAAGCTAGGGGCTGACTGTGAAACAGACCATCAATTGGTCACATGAAAGTTCAGGTTGAAGTTGAATAAAATTAAAAACAAACCCACTAGAGCCAAAATACAACTTCGAGTCTATCCCACCTGAATTTTGAGAAATCTCAAGAAGAGATTTGAGGCTCTGCACACTAATGACAGAGACCCGGTGAGCTGTGTGATAACATCAAGCTCATCATATATGAAGAAAGCAAAGGTCATTTAAAAGACAAGGAAAAAAACTGGATGTCAAAAGACTCTTAAACTTGTTCGTGAATGTAGGATAGCTAAAGCAAATGAAAGAAATGATGAAATGAAATAAAGGGCTGATTAAAAAATTCCAGAGAGTTTCTCGGCAAGAAGTAAATAATTATAATGAAATGTGCAAAAATATTGAGTTAGAAAGCCAAAAAGGAGGAACACATTCAGAATATCTCGTTTAAAGAATTGAAGAAAAAATTCAAGCCTCATACTGTACTGAAATACTGAAAGATTCCATGGACAAAATATTGGAAGATACAGGGAGCATCAAAAGAAGATGGAAGAAATATACAGAATCACTGTACCAAGAAAACTTGGGCAACCAACAATTATTTAGAGATGTAGACTATATGATCAAGGATCAATGGTATTTAAGAAAGAAGTACAAGCTGCACTGAAGGCCTTAGCCAAAAACAAGCCTCTAGGAATGAATGGAAAACCACGTAAAATGTTCTAGCAAGTGAAGGGGACACACTGGACATACTCCTTTGTTTATGCAAAGGAATTTGGAGGACAGAAAGTATCCATATTTGTGCCCATTTTAAAGAACAGTGACTCAACAGAATGCAGTACTTATCTAAAAATATCATTCATATCACATGCAAGTACAGTGTTGCAGAAGATCATTCAACAGTTAAGCCATTGCATTTAGAGGGAGCTGCCAGGAATTCAAGCTGGATTCAGAAGACTTGGGATATCACTGCTGATGTCAGATGGATCTTGGCTCAAAGAAGTGAATACCAAATAGATGTTTACTTGTGTTTATTAATTATTCAAAGGTATTTGACTATGTAGATCATAACAAACTATGGATAGCATTGAGAAGAATGGAAATTCCAGAATGCTTCATTGTGCTCATGCAGAATCTGGACCTAGACCAAGAAGTAGTTGTTGGAATAGCACAAGGGAAAAATTCATGGTTTAAAATCAAGAGAGATGTGTATCAGGGTTGCATCCTTTCACCATACTTACTGAATCTGCATCCTGAACAAATAATCCAAGAAGCAGGACTATATGAACAAGAGCAAGACATCAAGACTGAAGGAATGCTTATTAACAAGCTGTGATAGGAGGACTTGAAGCCCTGGTTGTAGAAAACCAAAGACCATAACTTTCAGTATGCATTGCAATGCAATGTAAAGCAAACGGAAACCTTCACAACTGAACCAATAGGTAATATCATGATAATTAAGCAAACATTTGAAAAATTTCAAGGAAGTCATTTTACTTGGATCCACATGGAAGCAGCAAATAATCAAACAACTTATTGGGCTTTGGGCAAATCTGCTGCACAAGACTCCTTAAAATGTTAAAGAGCAAGTTGTCATTTTGAGGATGAAGGTGCGACTGACCCATGCTAAAAAGCAAGCGCTCTTGCCTGCATCATCTGCTTCTATTGTAAGTGGGCCACAACTGAAGGAAACTTTCTTTCACTTGCATCAGGCTTGTGACCTGAGTAAGGGTGTGGAACTCCACCCTAATCTTCCTTCAATTGCTTGGTTGCTTGCTGCAGATCCTGTTATGGAGCTGACTATATTTGGTCACATCATGGGGGATTACTACCCTGTTTCCCCCAAAATAAGACAGTGTCTTATATTAATTTTTGTTCCCAAAGATGCACCAGGTCTTATTTTCAGGGGATGTCTTATTTTTCCATGAAGAAGAATATGGTACACATATATTGTTTATTGTTTTATTAAAAGAGACCTCACACTTCCTGTCTGCTCCGGCTGTGCTGCAGCCAACGGTGAGCTGCATGGCGGGGTGCCCACTGCTACAGTCTAGAGTCCAGAGTTACGGTAGCTTTGGGGGGCCTTATTTTCGGGGGGATGCCTTATATTTCAGCAAGAGGCAAACTGTAAGTAGGTCTTATTTTCGGGGAAGCAGGGTAGTCATTGACTGCCAAACCACACAGAATCCTGGTTCAGGCAAGCTGACACAAGACACAAAACCTAAAGATCACCCTCTACCCCTTATCAGTTTGGCACATGTACGCATCACCTTAAATCATACATAATCTCCAAACAAAGACAATTATAAAGTTATATTTGCACCTAACAGGAGACAGCTGACATTAGAACAACCCCAAATGTACAAACTTATTTACATTTTTTTTCATAAATGAACAAAACAAAAATATTTGACGCATACATATAAGGAAGAAATAATTATAACAGTTAGAGAATCTTTGTCTGCAGTTGATCACATGGCCATACTGGTGTTTAGAACTATTTTATTCAGCTACCCATTCTGGATTCCCTTTTCCTTCCACAAGCACCTCCCCTGGTCATGGTTCTTTGCCTGGTGGGGGCACTCAAACCTTCATTCCTGGAGGTTCTGGGCCATTAGTAGTCATGTCAGAATTGGTTGCTATAGTTTACCATTTACTTTTATCACAGGATATGGTAGTTCTAAGAGATAGCCAAAGGAATCTATTGAATTTCAGACATATTCTTTACTTCCATTATGTAAGGCCAATCCAATTTTCCCCTCAGTAATCAGGATGAAAATATACCATTCAGTACAGTAACTCTCTTCTTTGTCTGTTGATTGATCCAGAGGCATCCAGAGCCCAAAGTGGTCAGTTCAATGGAATTAGGGTCATGTCTCCAGGTGGCAGTATTCCTCCCTTTGCAACTCAGACCTCCAGACCTGAAGAGCATAGGTTTGCAGAGACAAGAAGCAAAAGGCTGCTAGTGAATCTCTGGGAGTAGTAGTGAGTGATGTTACTCCCTGTTGGAGACATAGCACCACAGATCGGATGCTGGTTTAGAGCATTTTCAGTCTCCAGTAGAACACTGCCCCAACCTTAGCTAGCACCATCGCTGTGTCTTTAGAAGGCCATATCGTTTTTCTATCAAGTCAGCTGTTTCAGGATTCTGGGGAACATGATACGACCAACTGATTCTATGAGCATGGGTCCATTGTCAAACTTCATTTGCCATAAAGAAAGCCCCTTAACCCAAAGTGATGCTTTGTGATGGAAAAAAACATTCTTTAAGACCACTAATAGTTTTAGTAGAAGCCTTGCACGCAGGGAAGGCAAATCCATATCCAGAGTAACTGCCTTTTCCAGTAAGAACAAAATGCTGCCCTTTCCATAATGGCAATGGTCCTACTATGTAATCAATGCCACTTGATTGCTGGTTGATCTCCCTAAGGAATTGCCCCATACCACAGACCCAGTGTTGGTCTCTGCTGCTGGCATCTTGGGCACTCTGCAATGGCAGTAGCCACATCAATACTGGTGAGTAGAAATCCATGTTGCTGAGCCCACATATAACCACCATCCCTGCCACTTTGTTTGTGAGCCCATTGGGCAACGAGAGTAGTGGCTTAGGAAAGACAATGACTGAGAATATTTTTTTTAACCTGTTTTATTGCTCAGCACTTTCCTACCTAATGCCTCATCATTCCTACCAAAACAGCTTTTTCTGAGATTACCATAATGTCAGATACTGTGAATTTTGCTCACTATTTATCTGATTTGTAAACACTGACTACTGCTGGCTTCTTAAAAACCCCTTATCTTTTTGCTTTTCTGACATTATAGTTTTAGTTCTTCTCATTACCTATGGATTGCTTCTTCCTCGTCTCCTTTGAGGGATTATTTTCTGTTATTGTCTCTTAAATGCTTGTGTTATCATCAACATTTTATACCTCTTCATTCCTTCAAATTGGTGACCTATTTTATCCACTTGCACATTCTACAATGTTTATTGGGCATGTACCATGTAGTAAACATTATGCTAGCTTCTGAGAAGAAAGTAATGGAGAAGACAGATATAACTTCTATATCATACATCTTGGTCTAATCAGGGTGATAGAAATTAAAGAATTGCACTCCCATGCTTCAGTCATCACCTTTGCTTATAACTAACTTCCAGATCTTTATCTGCATTTTTCATAATGATCAGAAAAATTATAGCTAGGGTATCTGAAGTAATGAAAATTGCCAATAGCAAAAAAACATGCACTTACTTGAGCTGTGACATTTGATGAAGCAAAAGCATTGGATCAGCCATTTTACAATATAATATTTTTATTGCCTCAAGTTTTATACTACCTGTGGAACTACAATATATGGAAGAATGCTATCTAATTGGTTCTCATTTAAGTTTTGTGACAGAATCACTTCTGACCAGATATTCTTCAGTAAATGTTTGCTGCAGGATTAATAAAAATAATGTATTTATTACAATGCAAGTACATAAAAATCTTCCATTATAGTTAAAGTAAGAAAATGAGAATGAGTTAAAGTGATTTTATATCTTAATCTAGCTAGGATAATTCCAGGTTATATCTGTTGTCTCAAATAGCACCTCCTTTCACTTTCAAAATTGTCTACACAGGTAGATTATATGATCACTCTAATTCTATGGTCAATTTGTAGAAGAAATATTTCTTAATATGATGGTTATTTATAAAACCCCTTTTTTTTTTTTACTACTTTGCAGGTGTAAAATGGTGGAGAACAAATATTTCTTGAATAAGACACTTTCATTCCTTACTTCTACTAAAAGGGAGTTGACATATATTAAAAATGAAGTCTATGATAATATTCAAAATTGGACTTCATTGAAAGAAGAACTTTTCCTGCAAATTAAATCCATAGGTGAAACAGCTTTGACAGGTTGGTTATATTTATATAGAACACAATTATCCTCTAATAAATTATTATCCTAAGTAATGAAGCAATGCTATTTCATTTTACGTGATGGAAATTAGGGTTGATTTTATTAATCTGCTATTGGTTGGTGAATTAGATTACTATAAACATTGGTTCAACTCAGAGACGTGAAGTACTAGGCAGTGTTTCATTATCTTGCACATAGGGTTTCAGTGTGTTAGAAAGAACTATATGGCACCTAACAGAAATAACAACATAGTACTCTTAGTCTTTTACTGATTTAGCAGCTCTCTAGACTACATTTGTTATTTCCTTCTATTAGCAATTAATAGCAACCCTGGTGGTGTAGTGGTTACATGTTGGGCTGCTAACTGCAAGGTCAGCAGTTCGAAACCATCAGCTGCTATGAGGGAGGCAGATCAGAACTTTGTACTCCCAGAAAAAGGGTTACAGTTTTTGAAACTCACAGAGGCAGTTCTACTCTGATCTACAGGGTCACTATGAGTTGGCACAGACTGGATAGCAGTGAGTTTTATTAGCAATGAGGATCCTTGGTGACCCAGTGGATTAAGCATTTGGATGCTACCCAAAAGGTATGATGGTTGAACCCACTAGCTATTCGTGGGAGAAAGATCAGGCAGTATGCTTTTGTAGAGATTCATAGTTTGGAAACCCTATGGAGGAATGCTCCTCTGTCTTAGAGGGCCCCTTTGAGTTCAATAGGTGTAACGGCATTGAGTTTGGTTTCACATGGTGTAGCTAGAAATAAGTTTCTACAAACCCAGCTTATTTTTTCTTCCTCATTTCTTCCTTTTTTAAACCATCTAATGTTAATCAGTTAAATAATTAATTTTTACATTTATATACTGTTAATTGTGCTTAATATATTGTTAATTATGCTTCTATGTCTACTAAATTATATATTACTTTAATTTTTTTCTTTCCAGTCAATTTATGTATTTCCTATCTTTTCTCTGTAGCATCCTCCAACAACTTATGTCTAATCAAACGGTTTCTACATTAATAGGATATACAATACTTGCATTCTGTTCTGTTACCTTATTGTGCCTCATTTGTGTTCGTTTCCAGTCCTTTCCTGTGGCTTCCCCCATCATCTCGTGGATGTCTAAAGTTCTTTCTCTGGAATTCCCTTATGAATAGTTTACAGAGAAAAATAAATAGAAGGCTTCCTTTCTAGAAGAGAAGAAATAAAATATTCACAGATGATATGATTTGTCCATAGAAAATCCCAACGAAACCATAAGAAAACATCTAGAGATAATGGAAGAATTTAGTAAGGTTGTAGAGTAAAAGGTCAATAAACAAAAAGCAGTTGGGTTCTTATACATCAGCAGTAAGCCATCTCAAAGGGTAATTATGAAAACAATTTCATTTGAACTAGGATTTAAGAGATTAAAATACCTAGGGCTAAATATAATCAGTTAAGTGAAGGACTTATACACTGAGAATTATAAAATTATACAAACCTAAATCACAATAAGGTAACATTTCACTCCCACCAGGGAGGCTAAAATTTAGTCTCTTACAGCTATAAGAGACTAAAGAAAATGGAAAGATGTTACAAGTTCCTGGATTGGAAGACTCAATGTTGTGAAGATGCCAATGCTATCCAAAATCTATAGATTCAATGTAACATGGGTTCAAAATCCAAAATCTTCTTTATAGAAATACAAAAACCTCTTCTCCACAGTATATTGAATGTCAAGAGACCTTGAATAACAAATACAGTGTTGAAAGAGAAGAACAAAGTAAGAGTACTCACACTTCTTAATTTTAAAACATTATGCAGCTGTAGTCACCAACACACCCTGGTACTGGTATAATAGTAGACACATAGACCAATGGAGTTGACTAGAGAGATCAGGAATCTACCCATACATCTCTAACTCTTGTCAAGGGTCCATTTGTTGGGGGAATAGGGTCTCTTCTACAAATGATGCTGGGAAAACTGGACTTCCATATGCTGAAAGATGAAGCAGGCTCCATACACCATACATTTTAAAAACTCAGAATGGACAAAGGGCATGAATGGATTAATTAAAGCCATGCAATTCTTAGAAAGAAAACTGGGGCAGTACATTCAGACACATTGTTAGGTGCCATCAAGTTGGTCACAACCCATAGGAACCGTATGCACAACAGAATAAAGTACTACCCAGTTCTGCCTCATCCATACTATTATTCTTATGCCCGAGTCCGCTGTTGAAGCCACATTGTCAATATATCCCCTTGAGTGCCTTCCTCCCCTTTGATGCCCCTTCACTCTACCAAGCATGGTGTCATTTTCCAGGGACTGGTCTCTCCTGACAATCTGTCCAAAGCAATATAAGACAGAGTTTCACCATCCTGGCCTCTAAGGAGCACTCTGACCACACATCTTCCAAGACAGACTTGTTTGTCCTTTTAGAGTCCACAGTATACTTTCAATAATCTTCTTCAGGACCACAATTCAAGTGCATCAATTCTTCTTCTGTCTTCCTTATTCAATTTCCAACTTTCACATGCGTATGAGGCAATGGAAAACACCATTGCTTGGGTCAGGTGCACCTTAGTAAAATCCTTGCTTTTTCACCTAATTCAACTCGTCTTTTGATCTCTTAAATGTTGCTTCCATGAACATAAAATGTTCAGGCCTAGCCAGCAACAATGGGTTACCCAATATAATAAAAAAATATACAAATAGCAAAAGACAAAATAAGTAACTGGAACCTGGTAGCAATTTTCAAAACTGTATATCAAAAGACTTTACAAAAAAAGTAAAAGTACAGGCATCCAATGGGGTGAATATCTTTGGAAATCATGTTTCTGACAAGGATCTAATAGCCAAAATGTATATAAAACTTCAACAATTTACAAACAAAAAACCAAATAGCCAAATAATAAAATAGACAAAGGTCTTAAATATACATTTCACCAAAGAGGACATTTCAATCGCCACCAAATACATGAAAAGATGTTCAGAGCCGGTAGCTGCCAGAGAGATACAAACCTAAATAACAATGAGATGACATTTCACTACCACTAGGGTGACTAAAATTAAAAATACAAAACCAGAAAATAACAAATGGTGAGGATGTGGGGAAATTGGAACTGTTACCTGTTGTTGGTAAGAATGAAAAAATGAAGAAAAAAAAGAATGAAAAATGATATCAGCATTGTGGAAAGTAGTATAGAGATTCTTCAAAAAACTGAAATAAGAGCTACCATATGACACATGAAAGGTACTTGTCAAGAAAGGTGTGTGTCGGGGTTTATCCTCTCACCACACTTATTCAATCGATATGCTGAGCAAATCATCAAAGCAGGTAGATTATATGAAGAAGAATGTGGCGTCAGGTTTGTAGGAGTGCTGTATGCAGATGACACAGCTTTGCTTTGACAGCGAGGAGAACATGAAACACTTGCTGATGTGGCCTTCAGTATGGATGACAACCCAAGGTAAAGAAGACCAAAGTGCACATTGAATAAGAAAGTACCATCGGTTGTCAAAAGAACAAAAAGGTCTGTCTTGAAAGAAGTCTAGTCAGAATGCTCCTTAGATGTGACAATGGTGAGGCTTTGTCGGTTGTACTTTGGCCATGTTATCAAGAGGGCCCAGTTCCTGGAGAATGCTGGTAAAGTAGGAGGTCGGTGAAAAAGAGGAACTCCCTTGCCAAAGTGGAATGACTGCAACAATGGGCCCAGAAAACACAGCAGTGGCAAGAACGCTGCAGAAACGGGTCACCGTGTTTTCTTCTGCTGTACCTAGGATTGCTGTGCATCAGAACCAACTGAACAGCACCTAACAAGGGGGGCAGGGTGGGAGAAAAAAGAGGGTTAACAGCGATAGATTTGATCAGGAAAGTGATATATAGCTGATTATTGCAATCACTGCCAATAAATTGTATACCAGTAAACAGATGAATTTTCAGGCAAAGTTTGTGTGATTGATATATAAGAGGACTTGAAAAACGTTGTGAAAAAAATCCATCATCTTCCAACTCCATTATTCCTCATACTTTTTGAAGTGCCCTCCTATTTACAGCAATGGAAAAAAAAGTATAGCTGTTGAAGTTGAAGTTACTTGTATGCAACCCAGCCCCTCCTGGGTTTGGTTTCTTGGTCGGGAAGTTTCAGGTCATGATTTCATGGACAGCCCAGTTAGCTGGCACAATAACTTGCTTACTATCTCTGTTCTTCCTCCTACTTCGCTGTGTAGTATCTGGCATCTTAAAAGCCTGCAAGCCATCATTTAAGGCACAATTGGTCTCTATTCATCTGTAACAATAAAGGAAGGAGTGTCAGTAATAGGAGGAGGATATAAAATGTGTGGCTAATTGCCTCCATAAACAGCTGCTTCCTTTGCCATGAGACCAGGAAAACTGGATAATGTCCAGCTACCATTCGTGAACATTTTGATCAAAAAATTCCATAGAGGACTCCTGATAAAAGGAGGAAACATTTCAAACATAATTTCAATTCCTATCAACTCCAGACTTCCTGGAGCCACAAAGGTTGGACAAACTCCTGAAAATATTGTCCTGACATAATCTTTCAAACCTTAAACCAAAATCTCCCCTGAAGTCATCTTGAAACCAAACAATCAGCAGGAGGCCTGGTGGTGGTGTGAGTTATGGCTCCAAGGCTGCTAATCGCAAGGTCAGCAGTTTGAAACAGCAACTAAAAAGATTACATAGGCACCTTAGGAGGCAGTGTGTTTATTTTGATGTAGGAGAACAACTCAGAAAAGGAAGGGGAAAATTGCTATACAACTTGAAGTCTATAATTAACGTCACTAAACAGTGCATGTAGAGATGATTGCATTGATAGATGTTTTGCTGTATATATTCTCAACAGCTACAAATAAATAAAATTATATTTAAAAACACTGACCATTTGAGTCATGTGCAAAAGACCACTTACTGATGTGGGTGGGGACAGAACGGTGTAGGGGACGAATATTCTCTGAGCTCTTGCTCAGCACTGTTAGCGATCCTTCTATA